ACAATTCCTATTTAAACCAATTTGTCATCAGTAACTTTTCAAAGTTTGTTATATTTCATCGAATTATTTTTTTTCTGTTGGAACATTGGAAAATTGATTTMTTGTTGCATATTGCATGGGAAGACAATGGWTTGCAATGGCGAGAAACCTAATCATTTATCAGCTTATATTTTGTCCTATTTTTTTAAAGAAAATTTATTGGARATAGAGATAATAGAATTAATAATATGTAATTGCAATATTGTATCTYGCACTTTGTTTTYGCCATCAAGTATTTCGTCTTCGAAATATTGGCATACTTTCCTTGGTTAATGTTGGGGCAACCGGCAGGATTAGGCCACTAAACTTTTGAGTTGGCATGGTTGTCCATATTATTTTTTATATTTCTGTTTTTATTATATTTGATGCTTCTGACTAGTTCATCTGCAGTTGTGCTTTGACATCACAATGATACATACGACTGCACACACATGAACCTTGGAAGAATATGGCATTTCGCTTATGCGAATTTTCAGCTTTTACATAGTTCCTTGAAATATGCAAAGGAATCTATTTCTGGTCTCTTTTGTTGTGATTAATAGATAGCCATAGATKACCTTATTGTTAAGCCACGTGTCTTTTTAAGATCGATACTACTAAGATTTTTTGGACATACCATTTGAAGGGGCGGATACGAAAACGGCGTAAGTGACGATTTAGGGTATTTTTGAAATTTCCGAAAAATTGACAAAACATCATTCCAATCGCTTATTTTAAGTCTAAATAACCTTATTTAGTACTTATTTCTCCTGATTTCTTTCCAAAAAGGGCAAAAAAGGACCCATAGTTACCGACTTCTTTGGCTTGACAACTGATCGCTAGACCGTAAAATATCCTAGATTTGCATATTCGCGCTAAACTCATGACTTTGACAGTTGGTTTGTCGGTTTGTTTTGGTTCGAAGCTGTGCTGCAAGAAGTCGAGAAATGAGTTTTTTCGCGGTTTTCTCAGCCTTTTTGCCTTTAGTCACTACTCTACAGACATCATTAAGTTTGTAGGTAGCGAAGGAGCTTACTTGCTGAAAGAATCCAGCTTGGTGTGTGACTTTTTAAGCGATTTTGATTCCGCGGTTCATTCGATTAACTCGGACAGTCGCTTGAAGAGAATCACTTAAAAGACCGTCTAAAGGCAAATCCTTGGAGCTGCCACGGTAATTTTTGGATGTTTTGGCTATTGAGGAACAAAAGCGACTTGAAATTTTGGCAGATTTCCGAGAAGGCTGT